AGTTCAAGGAGTCCATTTAATAATTACTTAATTACTTAATTAAAGGGTTATAGAATTTTAGACTGAAAGGAAATCCCAAAGGTCATCTAGTTCCATCCCCTACTAATGTAGGAACCTACAGCAAAAGCATTCCAGAGAGGTGGCCATACAACTCTGGTTTTAACATCTCCAAAAAAGGATGGCATAGCCCTTTCTAAGGTAGTTCATTCTACTGTCAAACAGCTCTTACCATCAAGAAGTTTTTTTCCCTAATGTTTGGTCAGAATCTTCTTTCTTGTATTTTGGATCCAATGGTTCAGATCACATTCTCTGCAGCAGAAGAAAACAAGCTCACCCCACTTTTCACTTGACAACAGTTCAGATATTTGAAGAGGAGTCTCATATCACTGCTCAATCTTTTCTTTTGCAGGCTAAACATACCCAGCTCCCTCAACCTTTCCTCACAGGGCTTGGCTTCCAGAAACGTTACCATCTAGATCACTTTCCCTTTGAAACATTTGAGCTCAGCAATAACCTTCTTAAACTGTGGTGCCCAGAAATTAACCCAGTAGAAAATGAGGTCTTACCAGATAAGGTCTCGGGAAATGGTGTATGTCTATACACTCTCCCAAATTTCCTCACAACTTCAACATTTAGAGCAGAATAAGAAGTTAATTCAAGATTTTTCTGAACAGCTCAAAACAAATATATATATATATATATATATATATATATATATATATATATATATATCGAGCTCCTTCATTTTCTCATATGGTTAGTTTCCCCCCTCAAAATCAAGGGGTTTGCAACCTTCCATCTTTCTAGGTAGAGTCTTACTGTGTTAAGTGCTATTTAATTATATCACGTAGACTTGCTTTTTTCTTTCTTTCTCATCCTGACCTCAGTTTGAACAAGTGCATCTTTCAAACAAGAAATGTTGGTGCCACTGACAAATAAAATCTGTGTGCCATTTAAAGCTATGATTTATCACCAGCAATTATCATTATTCATATTCAACCATGTTCAGTTCATATTAAACTGTAAGTGGTTTAATTGACAACTTACCTGAGAAATATTAAAAGAAAAGAAGAAGAAAAATATGAGAAGTCTTAATGCATTAAAAGCAGTTGTCTGCTGAAAATGATTTGATCCACTTAATGCTTTTTGAGAGTTACCAAATGGATTTCATTTCTTAGGCTTGTTGTGTACAAATGTAATAAAAGGCACTTAAACACTTAAAACTGTTTTTTCCCCTGGGATATTGCAGAAAATCAGCAACAGGACCTTTTTTGGATCTTTTATTTAGTCTCAAGCAATGTCAAATCATTTCTTCCTGGAAGGTACATTGCTTTGTCACACACTCTCTCACACACATTTAGAAATGCAGAATTAAAAGATATAGCCATGTTAGTCTTTAGAATCAGTATGAAGAGAGATCTTGTTGCACCTTTGATACTAACTAAAGAAAGAAGTTGACAGCGTGAGCTTTCATAGACTTCAGTCTACTTCCTCAGATGCATTCAGTGGAATGCTAAGCCAGAGACAGACTTATGTATACCCTAGGTGTGTTGCCAAACTGGATTTGCCACTTCATTTCAATTACAATGCCTTTGTTCACAAACAACCATGTCAAAACTGGACTTGCCACTTCATTTCCATACACAAAGGGTTTTGAATTCAAATTGACATTATCACACACCTAGGGCATATATAAGTCTTTGTCTGGCTTATCACTCCACTGAATGCATCTGTGGAAGTAGAAGTAGACTTAAGTCTATGAAAGCTTATGCTGTCAACTTCTTTCTTTAGTTAGTCTCAGAGGTGCTACAAGATCTCTCTATATTTAAAATACAATTCTTTAGGACAGAAAACACTGCTGGTGGGCAAAAAAGAAAGAAAAGAAACAATGGATAACAGACAGAACACTTAAAACAGTAAAAGAAAGATAAGAAGCAAAATAAAAGGGAGAAATAGAACCAATCATAGAACCACAGAGTTAGAAGAGACCACAAGGGCCATCCAGTCCATTCCCCTGCTATGCAAGAACTTACAATCAAAGCACCCTTGACAGATGGCCATCAGCTTCTGTTTAAAAACCTCCAAAGAAGGAGACTCCACCACACTCTGAGGGAATATGTTCCATTCCTAATTTTTAGGTGGAATTTATTTTCCTGTAACTTGCATCCATTGTTCCAAGTTCTATTCTCTGGAGCAGCAGAAAACAAATGAATCCAACTGTTCAATGACTAGTGCTGAAGGATACCTAGAAGTACTATAATAATCAATGCAGAGAAATAGATAACAACAACAAAAAAGAAGAATGAGAGACCTCTTCCATAAGATTTGGGAACTCAAAGGAAAGTTCAAACCAAGGGAAGGGATGCTATATGATCAGAGGAAGAATATACTACATGAATAAGAAGATATAAAAAGACAATGGAAGCAATATACAAAAGAGCTATATAAAAAAGCTGATAAAATGAATGACACTTGAAATGAAGAATAATATGAAATTGAACCCTACATTCCAGGAAGTGAAGTGAAAGCTGCACTATGAGAAATTGGGAAGAATAAATGACAAGGAATAGATGACATTCCAGTTGAACTGCTACAATCCACACAGACAGAATCGACAGAAGTGCTAACTAAAATATGCTAACAAATATGGAAAATAAAATGATGGTCAACAGACTGGACATGATTAATATACACCCCCATACACACACAAAAAAAGAGATGCAACAGATTGCAGCAACTATAGGGCCATAGTATTAATTTCCCATGCAAGCAAAATTATGCTCAAAAGTCTTCAGTATAGACTCCAATCATATATGGAGAGAGAAATCCCAGAGATGCAAGTAGGATTCAGGAAAGGAAGAGGCACTAGGGACCACACTGCAAAGATACAGTGGTTCATGGAGCACACCAAAGAATTCCAGAAGAAGACAAGCATGTGCTTTATAGATTACAGCAAAGTCTTTGACTGCATAGACCACAAAAGCTATGGAATGCTCTTAAAGAAATGGGAGTGCCACAACATTTGATAGTCCTGATGAGAAATCTGACCTTCGAACAAGAGGCTATTGTTAAAACAGAATATAGAGAAACAGAATGGTTCCCAATTGGCAAAGGGATAAGGCAAAGCTGCATTCTGCCACACTATTTGTTTAAATTATATGCAGAAAATATAAGAAGAGGCAGTTTAGACTCAGAAGAAGGAAAAGTGAAGATAAGAGGAAGGAACATCAACAATCTAAGATAAACAGATTACACCATACTACTAGTGGAAAACATCACAGACTCAGAACAATTACTAAGGAAGGTTAAAGAAGGAAGTGCAAAGGCTTACCACCATACATAAAGAAAACAAATAATGACCATGGAGGACTTACGCAAATTCAAACTAAATAATGAGGAAACTGAAATAGTTAAAGATTTCCCAAACCTTGGATCAAATATTGATCAGAACAGAAACTGCAGTCAAGAAATCAGAAGAAGACTAGAAAAGGGAAGGGCATCTATGAAAGAATTAAACAAGATCCTAAAATGTAAAGACAACAGCACACTAAAGTTAAAATAATCCAAACCATCGTATTCTCCATCATCATGTATGGATATGAGAGCAGGACTATGAAGAAAGAAGATTAAGAAAATCAACTTTCTTTATCAGGGAAAAAGATATTACAGATATTAAAGTCAGGGATATTTACACCAGTGAAGAAATCCAGGACATCAATCCTGGAAGCCAGGTGGAGAGCATCTGGATAAAAATTAAAAAATTAAAGGGGAGGGAAACAACAGGGATGTTAATGTGGGAGTCTACTACAGACCCCCGACTCAGGCAAAAGAATTGAATGATGTCTTTCTAGAACAGATGACCACACACTCAGAAAGGAAAAATATATAGCAGATCAACAATATAAAAAGTCAAATAGCTTTATAAAAATGGACGCGATAGAATATGTAAATAAGGAAGGATGCTTAGTATAATATATAATCCAATGAAGTAAGTGAGAAGTCGGTATGCTTGGGAAGATAGATGATTAGAATGTATGTAGTAGGATGTTTTAGAGATAAGAAAGTAGGTGGGAAAGAAATTAGACTTGGAGAAAGACATAGTAAGAAAGTTTAAAGAAGTAGATGAAGGTGTGAATATGTAAGGAAAGAAAGTAAGTAAGGAGGGAACTGTAGATAAGAAGGATGGAAGAGTGGTTGAAGAATATATAAGAAGGTAATGGAAGAGAAGAA